GCTCCAGCTCTCTGGGCTCCCCCCCTGCCCCAGCTCTCTCGGCCCCGCCCCCTACCCCAGTGATGGGAAACTGCAACTCCCAGCAGCGCCAGGACAGAGCTGCGAGGACCCCGGGGGGAGCTAGCAGCATTCGGGGGCTTTGGGGGATGAGAAGGGGCCGTTTGCTACAGCACTCTCTCTAGCCCGGGCAATGGCTCTTGGGACCATGTGACTCTTAACTCGGGGCTTTCAGTTAGTTTGTTCTCAGAGCTCCAAGTCAGCGGAGCCATAAAATATTCTAGTTACCTTGTATCTCTCTCTTTCCCTGGTTGTTTCCTTTTCTTTTCCCCTTTTGTAAATAAACCCATTATTGACCCTCTGTGTGTGTCTGCAGTGCAGATGAATTTCAGGCGCGGGTGAGGCCCACAGACAGGTGGCCCAGCTCACACTGGGGCCCTGTGACAGTTTTGGCACCCAATGCGGGGTGCTCCCACCTCCCTCCGGGGTGGCTCAGAAAACTGAAGGTGAAGAACAGGAAGGGCACTGGCAGGCCCCTGCTGCCTGCTTCCCAGCCAACTGTTGGCTGTGGCTCTGGAGCAGCTGGGCTTCTCCCGGCCTCCATCTCCTCCTGCCCAGGGCAGGGTGGGTAAAGAGCACTGCCCCAAGCAGTGGTGAGGTGGACAGGAGGGGCCATGGAAGCTCTCTCCCTGGCACCAAGCCCAGTGCCTCTCCCTCGTTATGTCAGCGAGCCCCGACTTCACTTCCCTGAGATACACAGTCTGACACCCAGGAACCAGATCCTGGAGCAAGCCTTCCCGCAGCACCATCACCGCAGCTGAGGGCCTTCCATGCCGCCAGGGCTCCCGGGAATATGTAAATGTCTCCACTTCAGAGAAGGAGAGGTCAGCCCTGGAAGGCTGCTGAGAAAGCGCAACTCCTTCCTCACTGAGGAGGGTCAACAGCTAAGGTCGAGAGCTGAAAACCCGAGAAGCAGCACATTTACATTCGGAAATGGGGGCTGAAATAACAGAGGAAGCAGCAGCGGTCTGGGGCGGAGCAGGCCTCCAGGAGGGCTGTGGCGGTGCTCAGGCCTGCTGTCTGCCCGGCACTGGGTGCGAGTCCCGCTTACTAGGAGAAAGGTCAAGTCAGTGCCCCAGACTGCAGGCTACAGACACACACAGGGCACTGAGCGTGGACCACCGCTGCAAGGACCTGCAGGGCACCCCGAGTCTCAGCAGCGGGCACCCTGGTGGCTCCCCCTGAAGAGACAAGCAAGCAGGGGCGAGGGGTCTGGGCGGGGCACTGGAGGCCAGTGTGGCAAGTGCCGGGTGGAGAGCCGCAGGGAGCTCTCAGAAATGACCGTGGCCGCAGCCACCCCACTGCAGGGATGCATCCCACCCAGGGAAGCCAGGGTCACCAGGCTCACGGCAGCGCTATTCCCAGTGGCCAGAACGTGCACCCCAAGTGCATGTCGATGGGCGAGCAGGTAAACAGAGGGCCCCACGTGGCGGCCTACCACCCTCCGAAAGGAGGGCCCTGGGCAGTCCACAGCATGTCCAGTGGGACGAGCCAGACCCAGGTCAAACAGCGTGATTCCTCCTGCTGGAGGTCCCTGCAGTCATCAGAACCAGGGGGAACGGAAGCAGGGGTACAGACACCACGCTGACAGCAAGGCAGGGGAGGCCCCGAGCTACCAGGAAAGGTGTCTGCAAAGAAGGGGCTGGTGAGGTCGGAGAAGCGGGGAAGAGGGACGACCTGGGAGCCGGAGGTCAGGGTGACCGCTGTGTCCTGTCCATGAGGTGGCCCAGACCAGAACCAGGCCCGGGCACTGGGAGTAGCCAGCTGCGTGGCGGCACTCAGAGAACGAGCGTCCACTTCCCGCGCTTCAGCGCGTGTTCAAGACAGTTCGCAATCTTGAATGAAATGTCCGTGAAGAGGGAAGAGAGGGAAGGGGGAGTGTGGGAGGAGGGGGGAGAGGAAGTGGGGGAGAGGGAGGAAGGGCCAAGGAGGGGACAGGGAGAGAAGGGGGCGGTGGGGGGGTCATGCTGTAGTCAAAGAAAGAAGAGACTTGACCTCTGACACCTAGGAGCAAAGCAGGAGCCTGGCCCGTGAACCGGCCAGGGAGACGGTGCGGAAGCCACCTCCCGCACGCTGCCCACAGCACCCTCCCCGGGGAGAACGCGAGCTGGGCTCTCCAGGTGACGGGCGAGGACGGGTCAGAATCGATGCAGACCGATGAGCCACTGGCAGGGCCCGGCCGAGGGGGAAGCGGCTCTGCTAATCGCTCTCTCTAATTGAATTGAATGTTCACTGTCAGGGCTTAAAGATTAATTCCCAAACCCCCGCGGCCTGCAGTGTGCGCCTTTTTTCAATTAAGTAATCAGAGACCCCATCTGCCTTCTCGGAGTTAAGGAGTTAAGTCTTCCATCAAATGTTCTAGGGCGGCCTGGCGCGTTCCCTGGGGAACTCTGTGTGAGCCACAAGAGTGGGATTTGGAGAGAACATGGCACGCCACGTGTGGCCACCAGCCCGTGGCCCCCTGCCAGCCAGTCGGGGTGCTCGGGCCCCCTGAGATGGGAGCAGGTCTCCCCGACTACCTTTTGCTCTTGATTGTGAAACAACCTCTCGGCCCTCCCTGGTGGCGCAGCGGGTTAAAGCGCAGCACTGCAAGTCAGCAGCAGCTGCTTCAGCGCGAGTTCGATCCCCTGTGCCACAGGGCGTGGCAGACCTCTCCTGGCTGCCCGCTGCTCCCCTCAGCAGTGTGCTTGTCAGTCGGTCTGTTCTGCTTCTCACTCTGTCTCACACTGCCTACACCCCAGTCCTGATGCACAAATAAAAAAATCTTAAATAAAAACCTTTTTTATTAAAAAAAAAAAAAAGCCCACAGAAAGTGACATGAGATCACATTTCCCTAGTGATGTGGGGAAGCAGGAAGCAGAAACACAGTAAAGAAGGTAAGCATCGTCCAGAACCCCACCGGCTGGCAACACCTGTCAGATTAAGGTGAATCTCGACCCCCACGTGGCCCGCCCTACGGTGCGCCTGGGGCGCCCCCCTCCGTCAGCCCTGGCTCCCCCGCTGCTCCCCTCTCAGCCCCGTTGTCGCAGGCAGTCCCAGAGCTACCATCCGCTCACACCCCTCAGGACAAGCCTGGGTGGCCAAGAGCTGGCGAGGCCATCTCCTGCAGAACGAGGCACCCGCCGCCGGCCCTCCCGGCTGCTCGGGGCTGTCGCCACACTATCAGACTTGCCACGCACAGCAGACATTTCTCCTTCTCCTTAGCTCTCCTGATGTCCCCACAGAAGTGGTTTGTAGTTTTCCATGGAAAGAATCTGGCACATCTTCTGTCCAATTTATCTGATTTTTTTCACATTTTATAATACTGTCAAAATTTTTACTTCAAAATGTTTTAGTTTCAGATTTTTCATGTCCACACTTTGTGTTCACTGCCCTTGAATTCTACGACTTTGCTCAACTGGCTTGTTAGTTCTGCAAGTCTGTGGTAGATGCAGCAGAAACCACACAGGTGATCATGCCGTCTGCAAATGAAGAAGTCTTACTTCCTCCTTTCCGGTCCCGATACCTCTTAATTTCTTTTCCTGCCTTGTTGTGCTGAGTGACTCTCCAGTATTGTGAGCACACATTATAACATCCCTGCCCGGCTCCCAACCACAAGGGGCAGTGATGGGTGCTATGGGCTGAACATGGTGCCAAGCTCACGACTTCATAAAGGCCCCTCATCCTTGGAAATTCTCTTCTATTTCTAGTTCACTGAAAGGGTTTTTTTTTTTTTTTTTTTTTTGAGACTCTTATTGGGATGGTGTTAAATCTGTATATTGCTTTTGGCGTGATGGCCATTTTGATGATGTTAATTCTCCCGATCCATGAGCAGGGGATATCTTTCCATTTTATGGTGTCTTCTTGCATTTTCTTTGTAGAGGTCTTTTGCCTCTTTTATTAGGTGGATTTCCAGGTATTTGATTCTTTTTGTTTTAATTGAAAAGGGGATGGTTTTTTTATTTCTGTTTCTTCTGATTGGTTGTTTGTGTATAGGAAGGCCTCTGATTTTTGTGTGTTGATTTTATGTCCTGCTACCTTGTTAAACTGGTTGATGGTTTTGATTAGTTTCTCTGTGGAGTTTTTAGGGTTTCCATGTAGATTAAGATATCATCTGCAAATAAGGACAATTTTACTTCTTCTTTCCCTATTTGGATTCCTCATATGTCTTTTTCCTGTCTTATTACTCTGGCTAGACCTTCCAAATTTATGTTGAAGAGCAGTGGTGATAGTAGACACCTTTGTCTTGTTCCTGACTCACTGAAAGTTTTTATTGGGACTGAACACTGGATATTGTCAAAGCTCTTTCTGCCTCTAATTTTTGTTTTTTTATAGTTCATTAATATACTGAATTACAACTATTAAAATAACCATGCATTCTTGGCACATACACCACAT